CTACAAGGGATAACTGCTCATTTTCGTCTAGTGACTAAAATAAAAAAAGTTATACTTACCCAAACCTGGAAGAGCTCCCTCTAGCCTCTCTCCTTCTATGCTGCATATTCAATGTGTTATGAATGTGTTTGCGACAACATTTTTAGGCGCAAAGACCAAAATGTCATGCTAACTAATTGCAGAGTTTTATCTCTGTTATGCATCTTTTTTTTAAGTGTTCTTGCTATATATTAATGTTTGCGGCTCACCGCACATGTTTTGTAACATTTAGCATAATATTTCAACTGCGCAGTATGTGTACAGCATTTGCGACAGTAAAAGACCTCCAAACAGACGCATATACTAGAAGTGAGCACTTCTAAAACTATCGCAAAGGCGACTCATACCCTCAAGTCAGCGGAGCACCTCAAGCTATTCAGCTCTCGTCCAAGAAGTTCCCAGCAAGCTTGCAACCATTTAGAAACAATTTAGAGATAGTTGCAGACAGAAGAAAACAGAGACAGTTTTGAGACAATTTTCCTTATGAAGGTCTTGAATTGTATTGTGATTGTAATGTCTTCCTTATATTGTAAAGCGCTGCGCAAACTGTTGGAGCTATATAAATCCTGTATAATAAAAATGAAGGCATTCAGGAATAAAACATAAACTATAATAAATCTGTCGCTATATGCACAAGAAATAAGGGATTCAACAGTTTGAGAGGAGCTGATGATCCAACAACGCTGATGAATCCCTCCCGTGTATAGAACGTGATGACTTAGAGACCTTAGACCGCTGCAACAGAGATGCTGGAAGGACCAGTCTAAAAACAACCCAGCTCTGTGGTTCGGGTTAGTATATCTTTTAGTCCCTAGATGAAAACAAGCAGTTAACCCTTACAATGCGGCGGTAGCCCCACTGCAAGGGTCAATAATAGTTTTTTTCCCCTGGTGTTGTTCCTTAAATCTTCTAGAAGAATTCAGCAATCTTGGAAATGGGCAGTTCTTTCATCCTTTTGTTAAAGATTATGGTTAGAACCATAAGCTATCACAAAAAAAAGTGAACCAACCTCATTGCATAGGAAACAGAGGAGAAAAAAAACTTTTACTGTACCACTAAACTGGTGTAATCTGATTTTTCTGAAATATAAGAAAGGATCCATGTAGCACTGCGGCCTTTACCCAAAAAAATTGCACAAAAAGATTTTTTTAATTCTTTTTCTGTGAGATTTTCTTTGTTAATCTCCACTAACACAGCCTATTGTAAAAACATCATTGTGAAAGCATCCATGTTAAGATTTACCGATTGTACAAGGTGCAGCAGATATACTGCTGATGGTGCTCATCACAGTGACGAATAATGGATATCAGGTCGTGTTTTATAACCCATTTGATCATCTGTACCTCTTGACTTCAAAAGCCGGAGTTTAAAATACATGGCTCATAAACATTAGTTTGTTCCCTGATCCAGCTGAAAAATCCACTTTTGGTGACTATCATCCATTGTCTATGAGTAGCTATAGCATTGCTGACTGTAACTTCCAGCCAGGAATGAAGCTAAACTCACCTGTATCAATGCAAATTATGAATCATATTATCTTCATTAATAATAACATGTATATGCCTACAATTGTCTCACCGGTATATCGAGCCTAAGAGCAGTAACAAGCCTTCTAACTAAAAAAATATGTGAACATGCTTCCACTGATGCAATGAGTGACAGATAAATGACACAGACATATCCTTTGATTGGCAGAACAGGGCTGCTGATTAAAGAGCGTCAAAACCCTAACAATAAACTCTCGTTTGGTCCCTTTTGTTCTGTTAAATATACCCTTAAAAGAGTATTGTTATAGTTGTTTGATAAGTTCAAAAAATACCTGTTGAACTTGCCAGAAATCTTGTGAGCTTCTAGCTTCCTGTGTTCTCTGCCTGTGATAACTACTATCAGTTACATTGTTCTTACTTAGCTCTGAGGACTACAGGACCACATACAGGTATATTACAGAAAGATGGGCAGAGTCCTTTAGTCCTATCCTGTTTCTCTTGTCCTGATGCAGTAGAGTAATTGAGCATTATCAGCTTAGGACAGAAAGTGTGTTACTGGCAGAATCACCAAATGAAAATAATGGTATGGAGCCTGACAAAAAAGGAAAACTAACACAGCCACCACATCTAAGGAACAGTAAGCTGCAAAACATGCCATTCTTCTTTTTGGGTTTAGATACACTTTAACCTAGTCCTAGACAGCAGAGTGCAACATAAAGCATTTATATCTTAGTTTTATGTTATTTAAAGGGTTTCTAAACCCTCACGGTTTTTTGCATATATCTACTGCTAGCGAGCAGTAGATATATGCAAAAAGTTTTTTGTTTAAAAACCCGCTTTAAAAGCGGTTTAAACTTACCACGTCTTCGTTGCGCGCTCCCGTCCGAAAATCTGAAAATGCTCGGGCGGCATCTTGGGGCGGGCGCATGCGCAGTTCAGATTTTCGGCTGGGAGACGAGGAGACACACAAGGTAAGTCTATGGACGTGTGCACCCGCATGCAGACTCCGTGGGACAGGAAGTACCAGCAAGGTGCTTGCGGTATACTGTGGCGTCTCAGTATACCGCGAGCTGTAGCTCGAAGTATACTGAGCTTAGGGTGACGGGAGGACGCTAGTTTGTGTCCTCCCGTTACCCTAAAGAGAGCTATGGGGAAAAGCCTTAACCCCCTAGTTCTCCTTTAATGTCACTTTAACAGGAGTTAAAAGAAGAGAGCCGTGTATTTGCTGAGCAATATAATATGCAATGCAAGTCGAATACATATTCTACATCTAGAACGCCTGGATTTCTTAACCCCTTCATGACTGAGGCCCTTTTTTCCATTTTTGCACCCATGTTATATACATTTTAGCTACTCCTGCTTTTTATTTTAGAGCACATTCTTAACAAGATCAAGAGGGTGAGGAGTGAAACTCACAATTAAAGTGGGTAAGATTTCACTGTTACATTTTAACTCAGGCTATATTAGTAGAAATACTATACATGCTAAGACAGCTGCTGTGAGTGTAGAAGAAATGCGTAGGCCTCTGTTTTAGGCCTCTGTTACAATAAGCTGAGGGGATTCTTCATTACGTCAGGAAAAGTATAAACACTGTCCTTGTTAATTTAAGATTAGATGTCATTGTTTCCATTTACAGGCACAGCCTTCCAAAGATGTCTCCACGCCAAGTTTGCTTGTATAAACAGTAATGGGTCACTTTAACACGTTTCCATAACATGGCTTGCTCGCAATCAGCAATCTTTTCTTTTCTTTTTTTTTTTTATAAACTATTTTCAAACATGAGTAGTTAAAAAGAATAGAATGGTAAACAGAAAACAATGAGAATCCAATAAGGATTACATTTCTTTTCCTTTCTCAAGAAAGGAAATGTCATAAAAATGTGGATTTGGCTTCAAATATAACAAACGTTTTCATCCTAGAGTTATTTTACACCAGTTCCAGAGCCTCTACATTTTCCTGTTTTGTCTCATCGATAGTCACCTTCTAGTTTGACTTCTCGGGCTGTTCTTGACCACAGCCAGGGAAAAGCCATACATCAAACAGACATTACAGATCTGCCTCCTCCACAGCTAGTCACCCCTTTCTTTTTTCAGACTTTTTTGCTCATACTTGGCTATCCTTCACTAAAGTGGGGTATACACTCTTAGATCTTATGTTCAGTTGTCAGGCTGAACGAAAAAACAAAACAGTAAACAGTGTGGATGGAGGAATCTTGTGCTACAACTACTGTATCCTGATAGTCATCCCCGCCTGAAATAACTGAAACAGGGCTATCCCTATAATGAGGCAGCCTGAGACTGTTCCCTTGGGTGGTATCTCTCAGGGTCACGTGGGGGTGGGCATGGTTAAACCAGTGTGATTTAATCATAATAAGCACAGTGAAACAGGCAGTTTTTCATTAAAGGAGAAGTACAAACTCCTATCGTTTAAAGCCAAGGAAGGTGCCATCTTTACCTCTATTTGCACTGCAGTTGCCATGGTGCTGCTCATGTGATCTGCTATGACACCAGCCATTTGAAGGCTTTAGAGGTCGGTTGAGAGCTGGAATAATCACATTGGCAGTCTGAACAGTTGGCATGCCTTAAAAGTAACTGTTTTGGAAGACATTAAAATTGTGGGTAAAGTTCTTCTTTAACCACCTCCCATCCACGGCCATTCCTGAACGGCCAGACGGGAGTCTTGTAGGAGCGGAGGGCGTCCTGCCCCTCCCCCCGCCAGCGATGGCTGTTTACATTCAAGCGATCGGGCGACTCTAGAGGGCATCCCCGAGATCCGCCGTGCCCAGTGCGGCTGGGACCAGTACAGCAACGCAGTCAGTGGAGATCAAAGGGAGATCAGTACACAACCTATCTTTGATCTCTTCTCGGTCCCCGAATGCAGGAAGTGATGTACATTACATCACTTCCTGCATTCAGTGTCACTCTCCTGCATTCAGATGCAGGTGAGAAGCTGATGAAGCAGATCTCTGCTTCATCAGCTTCTCTGGGGGTCCCTAGGTGAAATTTTTTTAAAGTCCCCCGCCCCCCCACATACACACATAAACATGCGTGGGGTGCGCCTATGTGCGAAAATGACGATTGCGCCCATTAGACTGCACATGTTACATATCACCGCAAATGTCGGAATGAGAGCAATAATTGTAGGGCCATTAATTACTGATAACATTAAACTGATGATTGGTAAAAGCTTTTAAAGTGTCGCCGATGGCCAATTTTGGGTGTGCTTGTTTTTAATTTTAAAGCTTGACATGTTTGGTGTCTATTTACTTGACGTGACCCCGTCTTTTATATTTTACCAAAAAATTGGGGTGATAATAAATGTTTCATAACATAACATTTCATAGGGAAACAAGTTTTTTACAAAGTTTACGGTACTTTTTTTGTTATATCGTAAAAAATTTAAACCCCAGTGGTGATTAAATGCCACCAAAAGAAAGCTCTATCTCTCCCCAAAAAATTGTATAAAATGTGTTTCAGTACAGCGTTGCATGACGGAATAAATGTCAGTCAAAGTACCGCAGCGCTGAATACTGAAAAATGGCCTGGCCAGGAAGGGGGTTTAGCACCCTGGTCTTCAAGTGGTTCACTGGATGAATGCACTATGACATTTTTGTATTAATTTGCCCCTTAGTATTTTTTTTTTAAATGTGGCACTACAAAAATAAACAAAGAAAACAAGTGCTTGTCACAGTTTACATACAAACAGTAAAACAAAAGGCAGAAAAAAGAAAGGGTTGAAGGAGTTAAACAGGCCTAATCAGCTCATTAAAAAGTAATGATAAGACATTAAAAATGAACACCTTTTATGATTTTTTTTAAAATTATTTTTATTTGTTTGCAATTGTAGGTTTGCTGGAACTGGCATTATATGCAAATCAAATGACATTATTTTAATTTGCACATAAGCACTAATTGTGAATGAAGGGTGTCTGTATGATGTATAAGCCTCTGTCAGCACTCCTTACACAAAGAGAAGTACCAGCTGTCAAACTATAAGCAGAGTCTTGCAGATGACACTGGCAGAGACATTCCCATTTTTCTTACAACTTGACAGCCAAGTCTTTTAGAAGCATTGACAACAGATGCACCTCACCCACCACACCAAAAGCAGGAGCCTCTTCTAACTTTGCATTAGCCTAGCCCTGTTCATTAGTTTTGATAATTTAATATGGTGATACAACAAACAAGGAATAAGACGCATTTTCAAATGCAGATGCAATGAGGGGAATTTATCAGAAGTGGAGCAGACAAAATCCGGAGCAGCTGTGCATGGCAACCAATCAGCTTCTCTGTCTAATTTACAAATCTTACCTGAGCACACTGAAGTGAGATGCTGATTGGTTACTATGGGCAACTGCTCCAGATTTTCTCTAATCCAGTTTTGATAAATTCCCCTCAATGTATCCGAATGATATTCCGATATTCCACGATGATAATGCCAACTGTGCACACTGCAAAACAAATTCCATATCTTCCTTGGCTACACCAATCACCAGATCTAAGAATAATTGAAACTTTAAGGGAAGTTCTAGAGTGAAAAAATCTGAATATCCACATCCTTTACCTTCCTTTAAAGAACTATTTTACTATTTCTACTTTACAAATAATTCAGAACATCTATAAGACACCAATACAAGAAGGGTTGTAGCTGTAATAAAGGTAAACATTTTTGCTACATTTTATTAGGTCCTTTTTATCAGTCCATTGTTAATTGTTTATATTATTTTGTCGACATTTTGTATTTAGTATATAAGTACAACTAATTACACATTATTATATTATTTATAGTGATATAGTTAATATATTACCCACCTCCATAAACGATCCTGCAATTCCAGCTTGGCATGAACCATGTTCTTCTCCATATTTCTTTTTATATTCTGGAAAAAATAAAGATGACAATCTAGTATAACATATTCTGTAGAGTTGCATTTGGCTGTGTGGGGCCTAACATTGTTACACTCCACCACATGTACCACCCAGCCTCCAAGGTCTAAACTTCATCCAGATTGGGAATTAAATAAGCCACAAATATGTAGGCCTGCGAACTACTGCATGTCAAATTAGTTACATATTTTTCAGCAGCACTTTCTTGTCAGTGTTTTTGAGTGGTTTGTGGGAAGCATTATCACATTAATTACAGCAGAACTGAAGTACATAGAACTCTGTATGGTAACAGCAGCAAAAACAACTTGCAAATCCACCAAATATTCTCCCCAGAGCATGTACGGAGCTCTCTGTTCCTATTTTACACAGTTTGCAGCTAAAAGCTCACTGTCACATTATTTACCCCCTTTATTACAGGAGGGGGTGCGTAAAACAAACACCCAAACCCAATTTTGCAACTTTGGCTGTGGCTTGGCTTTGTTAGTAAAACTGTGCTTATACATTTGCAAATACTGTAGCTAGAGTTTAATTTAAAGTGACACTAAACTCAGGAGTTAAATCTTTAAAATGCATTCAAGTACCTTAACTATTAACATACCGGACCTTATTAGTGTATCACTTGGCTGTAGATCCTCAGATTATCTCTGAATTGGTGCTGATACTGTCCTTTCTTCTGGAGGGTGTCTACTTTACAACACACACAGGGACCATGGGGTACAAAAGTAGCCACCCTCCAGAAAGGACAGTGTCGGTATGAATTCAGAGATAATCTGAGGATCTCCTGCCAAGTGATACACTAATAAGGTCAAGTATTGTTAATAGTTAAGGTACTTGAATGCATTCTTAAGATTTAGCTCCTGAGTTTAGTGTCACTTTAACATAGTTCTAGCCTCTTGATGGTGATGACAAGTATAGGAATACTTTTCAGCTTCATCTAGGGATGCTAGTGCTGTGCAAACGGCACACGCCCAGCATACTTTTATAAATAAACCCCTTAGCGTATGCAGGTGAATTATACATTGTCTTGTTCACGACAAGCTGGGCCTTCATTTGGTGGTAAATGATGAAGGGGGTGTTTTTGGACCCCGAAACACAGATTGTATTTATATTCTGATTGGCATCAGATGTTCAATTAAAGACTTTCACCTGATTTGATGCCCTCATTTGACTTAACTACGTGTGGATTTCTTGATTCGGGTGACCCTGCCTTTCAGCACGGAAGCACTCTTTTTCCTGGTCAGCCAACAGGCTTTTATAGTGCTTTTTCTGATTTTATGAAAACCATTTGGATGCCCACTTGAAGTTGCCAGGACCCCTGAGGTTAACAGTAGGGCATGCCTAAGGGATGGCAAGGACAAAGGTGGACAGATGACTACACCTTGATTTAAATGTGGTGTGTTACTTTAACTCCAGCCAAAACAATTTATTTATTGTTGGCTAGAGTAGGAAAGGGGTAAAGAATCACTGTTGGGTTTTTAATGCTGTCTGTAAACCCACCATGGACTCGCTTTCTGTTCCAGGTGGCACCCTGTTACTAAAAGTGACCCTTGGATAGAATAAGAATTTTAAAATGTGAAACACATAGTAATGAACGTGATTCCTTGGGGGGTTTTTTCCTCCGGTGCAGGTTAGGTCGCTCATTCCAACATTCCAGCACAGAGGTGTCAGCACGGTGGGTTTGAAACTAGGAAGCAAGCATAAATATTCTGACCCTAAAGTACTTATCTTCTGTGTTCTGCAGCCAGTGGTGCATCAAAGAGCATAAACATACCACGAAAATGAAATTATAGAAAGGAAGCAAGGATGGTTTTTCATCTCACATGGGTGGCTTACAGTGAGATTGTTGTGTAGTTGAATGTATTTCAGTTCAATTGAAAATATAAGCAGAGAAGGCTAGACAAGTGTCAGTAAATGGAAGTGGGCATATCTATGAGATGCTAATTATTCCAGGGAAATATAAAATGACACAAAAAAAAAAAAAACCCACCTCACACAGATAGTGATTGTGTCCAAGACCATAAAGTAAAGCAGGCTTAACTTTGCAAAGAAAACCACGCCAGCATTAAATATTATTGTATTTGCCAACTTTCCACTGGCAATGCATTTTATGGAGTAAAGTATATTGAATAGCAGAGAGGTTTGAATACATTACGATTCTTCCACTTATGTACATAAAAAATACTTTAAGAAAATAACAAATTAGAATCGCCAATAGTCCCCCACCAGCACCATCACCAACAACATTCAATGGACTGCTAACTTCCTGTAGTATGCTGCCTCTGCTGTACCGCAATCCTACGGCTGGGTTCACACCTGGGCGTACGGAATACGCGCGTTTGCCGCGCGTTTTTACCGCGAGTTGCGGTAAAATAAACGCGTGTCTACAAACACGCGTTTCCGAGGGCTATCTGGCTGTATCCTAATGTATACGCGCGACAAATACGCCCCGAAGAAGCTCCTGTACTTCTTTGGGCGTAGGGCGTTTTACAGCGCGTTCCTACGCGCTGTAAAACGCCCAGGTGTGAACCAGGCCTAAGCAGTGGTGTCAGTCCTGACAGGTTTTCTCTTGCTGGACTACAGAATAGCCCCTTATGTGTAACTAGAAATCACAGGGCACCATAGGAAAATTTTGTATGCGGACCCCCAAATCGCCCCCCTCCCCTACATAAGGGCTAAAGAAGAGATCACTCCGCCGCTGATTGGCTAGCATGGAGGCAGGGCCAGATTAAGAGCATCATAGGCCTGGTGATGAGGATTTTGGTGGGCCTTTTTATGGAAATGTCAGTGGTCATCGGTGTCCTCTTCCCCCCGTGCGGGCTATGATTTGTAGTCTCTCTACAGCTTGGAGTCATTGGTGAAGCGCCGGGGTCCAGTTGCAGGTGCGGCCCTGGTAGTACTGCAATTGACTGCAAGCTGTAGAGGGACTATAAATCTCAGAAATACATTATACAGCAATGCAGAATAATACCACCAACTATAGAGGAGTACAAATCCCAGCAATAAATAATACAGCAATGCAGAATACGCCAGCTACAGAGGACTGCGAATCCCAGCAATACATTATACAGCAATGCAGAATACCGCCAACTATAGAGAACTACAAATCCTTGCAATACATTATACAGCAATGCAGAATACCACCAACTATAGAAGACTACAAATTCCAGCAATACATTATATAGCAATGCAGAGTAGTGCCATGAGCTATAGAGGATTACAAATCCCAGCAATACATTATACAGTAATGCAGAATAATATGACGCTACATAATCTGTGTTCCTCTGGGTTCGCAGACTCATGTCTTCAGGGACTTAGTAGGCCAGTGCTGGCTTTTGGGCTGTGTGGGCTCCCAGTGGTCAGTGCTTGCTTTTAGGTGGCCCGTGCAATTGTCAGGTGGCCAGTGCAGGCTTTTAAGTGGCCAATGTGGGCTTTCTGGTGACCAGTATGGGCTCTTAGTGGCCAGTGGAGCTCTCAGGTGGTCGGTGGAGCTCTCAGGTGGTCAATGGGACTCCCAGGTGGTCAGTGCGGGCTCTCAAGTGGACAGTGGGGCTCTCAGGTGGACAGTTTGGGCTCTCAGGTGGTCAGTGTGGGGTTCCCAGGTGCCCAGTGTGGACTTCCAGGTGGTCCATGCAGGCCCTCAGGTGATCATAGTGGGATTTCAGGTGGTCAGTGCGGCGCTCTCAGGTGGCCAGTACACAGCTATCAGGTGGTCTGATATATCGGTATACCGAGGCGATCTGGGCCAGCCGGGTCTATTTGTGCTTCAGCCCGCTCCTGAGTGGGCCCCCCTTTCCCCCGGGCCCCATAGCGACCGCATGGGTCGCTATGGCGGTAGTTATGCCACTGGTTCTAATGATGCAGTGGAGGTTTTCTGTAGTCCAGCAGGATAAGACTCATTTAGGGATGGCATAACTAATTTTTAAAATATGTATAATAAAAAGAACTGAAACAGAAAAATTTAAGTGATACTGTCGATTTGAAAATGAGCTGTATTAATATCCTGTGCATATTGGCATGTTCCTGATTCATAAAATTGCACTAACACTGTGGTTAAAGATAAATGTCAACTGTCCATCATAAACTGCATTGCTAAAAGCAGGTGCCTATACAACTATGTACAACAAAGTCCTCCTCTTGTATTTATAGACCATCTACAGCCATAACTTCTTTTATGTTTTGGTCATTGGGGAAAAGGGAACTTTTGTGAGACTGTAAATGTTGTCTGTAGCTGATTGGTTGCAGTCACTCTTCGGCTGACAATTTTCCATCCGGCTTCTTAAATTTTTCAGTTGAAGTTTGTAGAGTCAGGTATTGTCGACACGGCCACACATGGATAATATTTTGGATGATTCACAGAAATCAGCTGAAATTCGAGGTGTGTATAGCCAGCATACATTTTCTAGACTCTAAATTTAGACTTATCAAACTCTGTGGTTACTCTTACACTCTGCAATAGAAGTGTGATTGGCACCTTCAAATAGACAATATAGAGGGATTGGTGGGATATTCCCTCATTTCCTGGCACCCTTCAAACAGATAAATAAAGGGAGATATTCCATCACTTCCTGCTGTGACTGGCACACATCAGGCACATAGGAGGTAAGGAGAAATCTCCTTAGTTGGGACACAGACAGAAATGAAAACCAGATAGAAACAGAAAAAAGCTCTAA